TAGGTGTGTAATTAGAGTTACAAACATAATGCTGATAAAATGTGTACACGATTTTTCTTTTTATACATTCTTAGGTTTCTATTTTATTTTTAAATGAAAAATATAAAAATTTCATTTTAAATATAAGTAAATTAAAATGTATTTTTAAACATCAACTTTAATATTTAAATGATAATTTTTATTTTTGAATAAAAACTAACTAAGGGCGTTAACATTATATATATATATATATTTAAATTGTTTCAGTATGTGTTTAGATTCTATTGTATTTGAAATAAAAAACTTAAAATGAAATATTTTACAAAAGTAGCCAATAGTTTAATGAATGGTTAGTTAAAAAGTTGGTTGTAAAAATACAATTTGTTAACGTTTAAGTAATTCAAACTTTTAGAATAGGTATCACAATTATTGACAATTTTATGATTATACAAAAAATGTTATTCATAATATTTATTAAAATGGAGTACAACGAGTACATAGATTAATATCTATATAGTCGAGTCATGTGATACGATGATATGTAAACAAAAAAATGTAATTACCTAAAACATAATGTATTAGTGTAATGAGAGTTCAATAGATACCATATGTTGCTTCTGAAATTATATAAAATTCTAAAACTATTATCTTTATGATATTATTTCCATTTCGCATTATATTTGTTGTACAATCTTTCGTTTTTTTTCTGTTTGTAGTCCATTTAATAGGTTTGCAATTTTTTTTGCATTCGATATACTTTTAATAACAACTACGAGTTTTTATTTGTTTTTTTAAATAAAGAATATTGAGTTATTAATTATATTCTTAAAAAAGGCATATCATTAATTTGTATTAAAAAAAATATTGTAATATTTTGAAGCAAAAATTTAATGTTTAAATTTTGCATCATATATTAGTTGAAGTATTTAAGTGAAATTTGTAAAATAAAATATCTTGAGCAGAAAAAAATGTGTTAACATAAAAATAAAAATTATATTATTATAAAAATGTTCTTATATAATTTGTATGTATAATTTTGTCTTTAAGTCGGTATAGAAAACAAAGATTAAATACATTAATTTAACTGTAACGTGTATTAATGATTACAGTGTACCTAAATCAATCATTAAATTAATTGATCCACTAAGTAATTTAGAGTAGAAAAAAGATGTTGTCATTTCAAAAACAGAATTTTGTATCAGCACATGAAATTACTGAAATAGCACATAGCACAAAAAGAATATCAATTCATTTTTAAAAATAGTCTTTTAATGTTATTAAGAATTCCAAGTATTCGAATTTGAATAAATTAATTTAAAAAAAAAAATTAGTGTGAGCATGCTTGCTGAATCACCATGTAACATGTAGGTATACATGTTAGCAATTAAAAGATAATCAAATTTCATTGAAATTATGTTTTCTTGAAATACTTCAACATTAAGAATATTATGATTATATGAATCGATTATAAAGAACGGAATTATATCGGCAATCTGAGCAAACCAATTCATAATAATCATATTACATTTGAATAAACTAGTAGGAATTCGAATATTGATACAATAGAATAGCAATGAATACTAATAATACTTTTATAGAATATTATATGTTTGAAACTAATGTCTTTAGTTTTATTTCATCTTTTTTTTTTTTTTTATCACGACGATAAATGGATAAAAGAAAACTTAAAAAAAGTCAAATTGGCTATTTAACGGCAATAATTTCTAGTTACATAAGACTAACATTTTTTTGTTATTATTTGCCATCATTATCTATGGATTATAGTCCAGTGTATATTGTTTGAATTATTTATTGGTATCTATTGACTATTACAGTGTCTTACTTAATCAATTAAAATTAGATAGGTACACAAAATACTTTAAATATTACAAAATATATTAATTCGTGATTTCTAATAGCATGTACTTATTATGTTAAACGTATTCAGAGTTAAGACGTCAACAATTCGTATGTTTATGATTAATTTCAACTTTTGAGAATGATTTGGTCACTACAGTTAATCAAAGTGAATAAAACTACGTTAAACCGGTGCATTAATTATCGTAATAACCTTATAAATATTTTATTGAAAAATACATTTTAATCAAAATACAATATTTAAATATTTATAAATTAGCAACATTTGTTATATATAGTAAACATAATATAAACAGTTAAAAATAATTGTTTTTTTTATTAACTAGTTTTTATTATCAATTATAAAGTTGGTACTTTTGGAACATGTAACATCCCAGAATTTTGCGACATAATTTATCAGCTGTATTATGTAATTTCCCTGACTTCCACCACATGTCACAGTGTAGAGTATTACTCTGTGAAAAAAAAGCAATTGTTTATCTAGTCACCGTTATCGTCGCTTGTGAGCAACCTGTTATCCCATAAAAAATGTAATTAAGTCCCTCACACAACGACACCTAAGTCCCTGGCTTCTATGACGTTTTCGCCGAACGGCTCAACGGCCTGAACCATCGTCCAAGACGCTGTGCTTTTTATTTTTTTCGAGACCTCCGACTTACGGAAAACTTGTCAAGTCAAGCCTACTCTGTAAAAATATCACACCTCGTGGTCGACCGTATACGTACATTATTTATTTTTTTCAATCAACATTTTTCTATTTCTCTAACCAATATGGACTAGACACACTACTGTATGCCCGAGGCGGGCAAAGTCGAAGACTTCGGCATTAGACATTTAAAGCCGTCTCGTCAAGTATACAATATCCCTAAAACCCCTCTTCTTTCTTTTTATTGTTATTATTGGCAACTCCAAATATCAGATTAATTTATTGTTATATATCACATTCCTTGTTTAACTCTTTCTGGAGCTGTGGCGTGGCGTTGAGGGTGTCGATAACCCCGTGCAGGTATGTAGTTTATTGTAAAACACCCGGGAGACTCATATGTATATGAAGTAGGTCCCCCTCCCCCAAATTAATTTGATTAATCGAAAAACAAGTCAATATTTTGCAAATTAATTTTAAATGACTGAAAATTAATTTTCAGAATTTGCAAATAAGTCATTAAAATATCAAAGCTAAAATGGAGTCGATAATCTGCGATGCCGTGTCCGCGGAGTCTTGAGGAGTTATCCATCAATATAAAATGCTATAAAATGGCTTGAAGAACTAAATACTCGTCTGTGATTTTTATTGCTATTAGTATTGATGTTATTATAATTTACTATACCTACTATAACCTACCATACTAACATTTTATATATTTTATTACTTGTTTTTAAATAGTTGACTAGTTATCTTAATTATCATATTTATTTATTTGTTTTAATTTTACTAACTTTATCTATAACATTTCTCACGTTATCTAAAGTCGAATATGTCATATGCAAATAATAATAATACTGATCAATCTTATTTTATATTCCAAATATTATTTACTATAACATTTTTATTTGCCGTGTGCTCTTTTTTTAAAATGATATATCACATATTTTGATAATTTAAGTTACGATTTCTCTGCAACGTGAAATCACTGTGACTCCTACAGAACACTCACAATATAATTCACAGTTAAACTGTCGTCCTGTGCGAATGTGTTTTTCTTTTTTATGTAATTTTATGATTTTTAATTTTGAAAAAAACGCATCGTCAAATAATGCTAAACAATAATAAAATTATATGGAACTGTTAAAAGAGGAAGAAGAAGAAGATAATCAATTGTTAATGCACAAAAGAAATAAAAGAAGGAAACCTATCTGTGAGGATTTTATTCTCTGAAACGAAAAAAATAAACTTTTTAAACGTGTTGTCATTGGCGTTCAACGCTATACAGTGGTCCTAGGACCTGTAGTGTCGTCGTCAGACGCCGCGTCGAATGTTCTAGACGCAGCGATGAACGTGTATAAAAAAATCGGGCACTTTCAAAATATATAGGTTCAATAGTATTGTGTATTTAACCGTACCTAAATAAATGTCACATCTCCTTATATTTCAACATTTATATTATCATATTTCAAAACACTTGTACAACACTTGTGGGTTCTTCCGACGTGTCCTGAGGGACATTACGCAGTACGGATTACAGGTCACCACGTAAGTGTTCTCCTTTAGTAGTGGGTGCGCAGTAAGCCCCTAAAAGGGCCGAACCTTCACAAACATTATCACAAGGTATGAAAATAGTACATATTATCGTTCCCGGAATAAATATAAACTTTGGAATGGATGATTATTATTTTATTTTTTTTAATAATAGACAAAATATTCAAAATATTACAATATTTAATAAACCACAAATTATGTATTTGAGAAATAATATAAATATATTATAATTTATAAAAGGATATGTAAAATCTATTGTTTTAATTTTGTTCTTTTTATTTTTTATTACGAGAAGTTATAACTTTTTTTTGTTAAACGTTTGTTTTAATTATCTATTTTTAAATTAGTTTATTATTATACATTTATATTGGTTATAGTAATTGAATACCATGAATTTTTCGATAATTTTGTGAACTATATCGAGCATTTCTTTGAAAATTCCCTTCATATTACGTTCCTGGTTGCCAATTTAAACTATGTTGGAACTTAGTCATATCGTTGGTAATTGGTTAAAAGATTTATTAGTTTTATATGAAAATCCCCGTTCTAATTCATTGTTTTTACGTGAGCTTTTGTCAGTATTTTCAACGACTAGTAAAATTGATCTGAACTATTACATTTTTTTTTCAATTTTAAAAACGAATGTAAATAATTTTATTAAGTTAAATTTTCGTGAATAGTGACATCATTAAATTTATTATAAGCTTAAAAATTGTAATCATTTTGCAATACCTATTGTTATATCTTAGATAATGTTTTTATTTATTTTTATTTTATTACTTAAATAAATCATCTAAATTTTTCATTTTCTTTTTTGACTTATTTTTTTTTTCTTCTTCGCTACTGTCTTCATCACTGTCATCATCATCATCATCATCATCATCATCATCATCATCATCATCATC